ACATCTAAACTTACAAAAAGCGCACTAACTCACGGTCATGTCACACAGCAAATGCAACATTCAAATAAAACGGATCATTCACGTACCGGAACCTCGCAAGAATTTCCACAATTCTCTGTGAGTTAATAGATTGTTTCCACATTGGAGCTTCATTTCCTTCATAAAATTGCACATGGATCTTCTTTTGCCAGATCTTGCATATTTCCTTTGCGATCTGCAAAAAACCTATGATCATGAGAAAAAGTACACCGGCGGCGAAAATAAAACACTGTCTCGAACCTTTTTCATCTCCGACTTATGGTTCTCGCGCGCATCATCCATCCCGTACAAAACAAGCGCCCGCTGGTTTGCTTCACTACGGTGTTCCTCTGTTTGGCGTAACGGCATCTTAAATTGTAAAATCACACTGATAACATCATTATCCTTTATTTCTTACCTGGATGAGAATGCGATCATTCATTGACATTTCATCATTAAGGTAAATGTGTTCGTCTTTATCATCTTGTTTGTATGAGATCAGACTAGTGGGTTTTGGTGGTTCATCGGGAGTCAGGTCTTCGAACTAAAAATGCATGTCTTGATCATTAAAAAACCATCGTTAGACGTCAACAAAATGATATTTACAATTACGTTACTTAAAACTCTATGTGTCACATCATATCCCAATTTGGAAAAAAAAGTAATTCATCTCAAAAAATCGTACCTTGAACAGGTATTTTTTAACAAAAATGCCGTACCAAGTTGTTTATACAAAAAACAAATTTGAAGTCGGAAAAAACCACCTTTTTAGCCCAAGAGGAAGTGAACCACATATAAGTTCGTTAAATTAACATGATAGCCACTACAACCATCATAAGTTATGCTTACCTGAGCAGACATGAGGGAGGAAGTGATCGGGTCTGGTGGCTTGTTCTCAGATTTGAACTTATCCATTATAGGGCGTTGATAGTCAAGCTCCCCAGATTTGATGAGCTCTTTCACAAAACTTAATTTTCAACTGATAATTAACCACAATGTTGGCAGATATCATGGATAGATGCGAGTATCGAAAAGCATTTAGTTCAAGAACTCACCAGTCATGAACAAATAATTTGAATCGGGAAAGCTCAATAAATAGTGTGACTAGAGAAGCAAACTCTTGGTGATAGAACTTCGATCCGGGTGTAGGAGCTTCAGTATAGAAATAGTTCAAAATAATATCCTGCATGTGAAAAGGGCCGAACATGTAAGATTGCTGATTCAACACTTGCTGATAGATAACCTGCAATCACAGGGTTCATACGGAAAGACCACAAAGAACAGATGATCTACCTTAGTTACAATGATTGCTCTATGGCTACCTTCACGTTCTGCTGTAACAGCCCAGTGCAACATAAGTTTAATCCTAGAAGGCGAGATATAGAAGAGAAATTCAATAACGAGATATGGACATCCTGCAAAAATTACCGGATAAGCACTTCCTCAGCCCAATTATCCGATCTAAAAGTAAAGATTCGCGTTGTCACGGCAGGTAAGATATTCGGCTCAAGCACATCCGTAGAGTCCAAAATACCAATCACATCAAGACAGCCATTCACAAGTTTTGCTAAAAGTGAGATTTCTGGGTCGTGCTTATCTTGAAGCAAGATATCATGTTGTTGAAAGCACAGGCTAACATAATAATATTCATATAGAGACCATAGCAATAAGAAGGCAAATAGTCTCTTAAATTTCGCTTGAAAGGTTGCATTTGAAAACCAATGTGAGACCTGCGCTATGACGTTATTCGTGATTTGAAAAAATGTTCCTAGCGATCACCCTGTTAGAACTCCCTCTTGCGAATCAGAAGTTCATAAGCGCAAAGAATAATGAAAAATAG